AGGAACACTCGAAGGACGTATAACTGCTGGATAAATATCTACTCGAGTGTAGTCAATACACAAGTAAGAGCTGCTTAGGACAAAGAAGAACCAGACCCAGCGAGAAAGCTGACGCTTTCTCTTGTTTTGATTTGACTCTAATTGTTGGTCTTGCTCTTGAACCCTTTCTATTTCTCTCTCTCGGCAGTTCATCGTCTAGCTCTCAGTTCCCTGAATTCTCTCAGCTGCTACAAAATACTAAACAGTGTCAGATTTGGAAATGAGCCCAAGTACACAAACTGGTTGGTAAATCCAACCATCAGAAAAAAATCTATAACCGCCCAAATAACCTCTTGTTATTCTTCAACAGCCCCAGTCCTCGAGGCGCTTGAAGTTCTAACTCACGCGTATGACAGAGGATTATGGAGCTCATATCGGCTCAATGCTGGCGAAGAGAATGGGGAATTGATCAAGGATAACCTAGATGAGAAAAACAAACTCATGCATGAACTCCAATCGAGTCTCTTACCTTCAATCAAGCATCACCTGGAGACACTTGACCCACCACATGATTTTAACGATTATCCAAGCCTGGAAATCAAAACGACCTTGGAGACTTTATCAAATCTTGACCAGACTATGCAGAAAACCTTACATTACCTCAACTCCTCCCCTCTCAAAGTGTTTGAACCGAGTAACGCCTACGACCACCACTTTAAACAATGTAAAACTTTCAGATGTCATGCTCTGTTGGAACCCATCAATCTTCTAGAAATAAATCTACGATCGCTATTTTTGGCCTACATTAAATTGATCGAATCCCGGAATCTTCCCATTAAGCACCCAGAGGACCCTAGGTATCGAGCTCCAACACCAAGAGAGGAAACAGTCAAGTGCCTCAAGAGCATTGACCAGGCAATTAGATGGTCCCAAGCATCCGACTTTGCTTTGCTCCAATTGAAATGGCGAGGCGTAGCTGAATCATTCACTAACTCAATGACACGTCTCGCAAGGCTAATCGACCTAATCAGCCGTCACGCAAGAAGAAACACCATTCTCAGGAAACATATTGTTGAGCAGGCTAGATTAATTGTACCTGTGATCAAGTTGCTCAGAACCTTATACAACAAAATATCAAACACCACTAAGAAAAAACAGCCATTTACGTTGGATCCAGAAGTTAACTCCGACACACTGTACACGCTAGAACTAGACTCTAGTATAATTTTCCACGCGTGCAACGTCCATGTCAAAAACTTGGAGATAAGACATATGTATGGTTCAATGGTTGATACGAGTGAGGCGCTGCGCAAGCGGAATAAAAGTCTGTCAAGAACTGTCGAGTCTACCTTATTTCTTCTAGCTTTGTACATCATCCCTTTATCCCCAAAGGTCGATCACTCTGGAATTCCCTTGAAAGTGACTTCAAGGCCTGGCTTTCCAAGTGGCAAGTTTTATGGCGGGCCGCGAAGGAGCGTGCTCTGGATGCTATGTATGTCCATGAAGAGGAGAATTGATAACCAAAGGTCAGTCAATCCTTGTTAATAAATAAGTATTGCACTTCAGATAGATTGATGTGATCATTATCACACTACTCTCAATCTATTGCTTAGATAACACCACACCTTGGAGTTGGTCTTTTCAAGTCTGTTCTCTCCATTTTTGTACTGTCTACATAATATGATGATGAAATTAGGCAGGAAGAATGCACTGAACGTTTACTTTTTCCGGGTAGTCTTTCAGTTGCCGCTCACTGCCCTTGAAATGGCAGTGATTGTTGCATAGGTGAAAAATCTGTGCTTCGATAAGACACTCAATATGGGCATCCTACCAATAGAGATTAAAGTGGATTGCACCTTTGGACAAAAGTTGTAGTAACACATGTGAGAGGTCCAATTGGATCCTCAGAACTAGCTCATCCAACATTTCCAAGAAAGATACCACGACTGATCAAAGGCGAGAAGCTGTTGTCAATCGATCTCAAGAGCGTCCGATGTGTCTATCTTTTTCCTTTCACAGCATTACAGGCAATAAAGATGACCAGACGTGGCCCCTCCGGGCAAGTTTGAGATGGATTTGGCGAGTGGACCCCAGCTATCGGGCTAGATTATAGGAGACTTTAGAAATTTTGGGCACTCATTTGGCCTGGGAGCAATTGGTAGCTACTAGAGACTTCATGTAGTCTCAAATTTCACTCAGGAAAGTTGATTATTTGATATCACACCAAGGCCTAAACTTTGTAGCTCGCGTTGAGTCAGGTTGAGCCACGTGACCGCAAAGCGGCGCGCCCGCGCAGCCCGCAGACAAAATATGTATCACTTTGATCTAATTATCCATACAGGATTTTCCAGCCAGGACACCGAGCTGGACGATGGCCGATATGGAAGTTAACTTGAGCTTTCCAGCTGGTAGGTGACTGGATTCTTGAAATTCTTGAAGCATCCAATGAATGATCAGCTCACTTCCTTCTTTTTCCAACAGATTCGGTCCTTGATGCGCTGGAGAATCGGCTGGAAAAATATGACACAGAGCGACCACCAGGCCCGACGAAAGAAGTGCTGACGGAGGAGGAGCTGGCAATCAAAATCGCACGGTTGGACGAACTCGAGTCCAGCCTTTTACCTTCAATACAAAATCTAGTCGGCCCTCTTGTGACCTCATTGGGCCTACGCCCCGATTCAAACCCAAACTTCGAATCGACTTGCAATATATTATCAACTCTTGATGAAGCATGGTGGCAAACTGTACTGTCCATCGAGTCGGCTGCATTCGGCGTAATTCCAGACAGCACCAAAGACCATCACTTAAAACGATGTAAAGATTTTACATGTTCTCAACTCATAAATATCATCTCGAATCTTAAACGGCATCTCTTTCCGCTGCTCAAGTGTGCGATTCTATTCATGAAATCATTAAAAGTCTCAAGTGACGACCTAGAAAGGATTAGTTATCGAAACCAGCAAAGCAATCTTCGTTACCATGCAGCCAACGCTAGTGCTATGATGCGTGAAACCATGAAGTCGCTACATCGATCGGACTTTCAAATTATCCAAGACAAGTGGCAAGAGCAAGAGGCCTCGCTCGATCGCCTACTCCTAGCTCTAACCAGGCTAACAGGTCCCACGTTGGTTAGGCGACGCAATGGTGCAAGCGCTCTCAGTGTACATGTCGTTGAGTTAGCCAAACTCTCACTTCCTCTGATAAAATTAGCAAGAACATTCTCCAAGCAAGTATCGAGAACCACAACTAGCAAACTACTGTTCACGTTAGATACAAATCTCAACTCCAAGACACTGTCCAGGTTGCACAAACACCCTGAATCGATTGAAACCTGTTTTAGTAAACTCATAAGCGTATTGTACACAGCCTCTATACACAACGTACTGGCTGATGGTCGAGCGGTACTGCGGAATTGGGTCCAGAATATCTCACAGACTTTCGAATCCACTTTGCTTTTGTTGGTCCTGCATCTCATCCCCCTGCCTTCGCTCGAGACCGATCGTGATTCAGCTGGAAATAACTTCAAGGCTTGGTTTGCTGCTTGGCATGAGGCATGGCATCGCGCCGTTGACAATTTTTTGAACACTCTTCAACGCTTCGAACGTCAAAATCAACAACCACTAGCACCACCCCGGGCATAGGAAGCAAAATGCGCAGTAAAATCGCGAAGATCCTTCTTATGAATGAAATGGCTTGTGGCTTGCATAGTGCACCAACCAAAATGCTATCACACTTTTCTCAATCAACCTAGATCTTATCATCCTTTTAATTCAAATTGTCTCTCATCACATTCTCACTTATCGTCTAGAGTTGTTATGAGTTGTACATACTATCAGGCAAACAGTGGAATAACACCTGAGCAAGCATGTAAATGCCTTTTTTGGCAATTGCACCATGGAAATGGAAATAAGCTGGTACAGATGACAGCCTCTGAAACCATTGTGGATGCTGCAATTTCAATGTGATTAAAATATGTGACATTCAGTTATCCTTTTATATAATTCCCAAGGATCAATCAGCTTTCCTATCTTTCCTCAGTGCAAGTTGTTATTCAAAGGGTAGATATTCATCTGGAGCCTTTTCAAGAGCATTCAAAAATGATCAGTTGAAATATTCAATCCATCTTGATCTGTAGAAAGCCAAGACTGGATGACTTCCCGTCGCGGTTTACAACCCTCCCAGAATTTGATTTACACCCCCAAGATCTTAATTTTTGATATAAAAAAATATTTTTTCATAAGCCTTGGGAAGATAGCTCTCATGTGAGCTGGTTGGAATTATGATTGAGGTGTAAATTTAGGACTGGGGAGGGCTTAAAAAGCACTCTAAATGGCGACAGGAAGTCCTCCACTGTTCACATTTGAGCAAGCAATTGTCAATTATAGGAGGCAAAGGCATGAGATTGGAATCTAGGACCAACGGTGGGCCGCTACGCTACACTACGCTATTTGGCCACTACATGTTAGCGTAGTTGCTTTTTTTTTGCTGGAAATCCTGTAGTGTTAGTTCACGCTACACACCGCTGAGCTAACTGCCAGTGTAGCGTGAAATTTTTCCCTCAAATTTTTTTTAGTGTTAGCTTGAAATAATTGCCACTAAACTAACAAGTAGCGTAACTTTTCCCAAGCTAACAAAACTTCCACTAACCAGCAGCGTAACTGAGTTGACGCTAACATTTAGCGTAACTTATACCAAATTAAGCTACACTACGCTACACTACATACCTAGTTACACTACACTACATTAGAAGTTACACTACACATGTAGTGTAGTGTAACTTGTAACTCATCAATTAAAGAAATTGATGTGTCAAGCTGGATTTTTGCACAACTTATGTGAAATGTTCATATGACTGATACGGCCAAGGTCCACGGTGACGATTTTCAATGTCCCGTGATCGCACACAATCCCGCAGAATATGAACAGCACAAGATGTGGAGAAAAACAAACTGAGGATGTGCCTGGTGAGATTTGAACTCACAACCTCAGCAATGCTGAGTCACATACAAGAGTGCTTCCTTTACACCACGGACAATTGCATGTCGCTCCCGCGCGGAGCGACATCTGGGGGTTTCATTGGGGGTTTCGTGCGCAGTGACTGCGCCTACTGCCGCAGTCACGCACGCGGATTCGTCAAGGTGACGGTTACATCCGGGGCGACACCCAAATGACCGTGGTGTTACCAACTAGGCTACAGATGCTTGTGTTTGCCAGGTCAGTTGGGTGGTAGTTGTCATGGCCCATGCCCACAGCTCCACTACACTCTGGTGATACATAATGGTAGCAGACTATCATACACCTCAACACACACACACCCCTTGCTGCATGATGTCAAAGTGGAAATTGAACACAAGTAAGTGTGGGAATGGAACCCAGTAAATTAAAAAATGGCAGGGGGCTAATATTGAGTGGCCCCCAGTACCAACTGAAAAAAAATGATGATCAATTGAGGGGATCTGGATGTAGGCCCCCCAATCAGGCACTGTCTTCAGGGTAGACTAGCACTAGTCATGTGGTCATGTAACTACATAGTCAGTTACACTAACAGTTAGTGTTTGTAAAACATCATTCCCAAGTCATTTTTTCATATTTTCATATTTGATAGTTTATTGCAAAGTTTAAACTATCTACAACTTATAACTAATTGGAAGAATCTTAATTGTCATCCAAAACCATCACCTTCCTTTCTGATTTTTTGTTAGACTTCTTCTTATCCTTGAGTCCCTGTTTCCATGCAGCCAAGGTACCTTCTTGGATCTTGGAGTTCTTGGAGTAGAAGGCCACCATCATTTTGATTTTTGGTAGGGAAGTGAGGGGGTACCTGTTCAAATTTTCACAAAGATAGGTACCGAGTACCTCACCTGGCACCTCCTGGCGGGTGCGGGGCGGGTGCGAGGGGTACCCCCCAGGAGGTACCAGGTACCTGCAAAAAGTACGGATGAACAATCTCTACTACAGGGCAAAAAAACCTCTAACCAGCGTGTGAGTGCAGCATATAGAGCCCTTTTTTGGGGCCTACACGTGCAGTGTTAGGGCAGACATGTTGCAATTTTGCTAGGCTATGCCAAATTGTAGTGGAAATCAACTATGTTACACCACGCTAACACTACAGTTAGTGTCACTGTCCCACACTTGTTATTAAAGAATTTTTATTTGAGGATAGCAGGACTTGCAAAAATTGATGCAAGACATTGGCTGAACTGTCACTGACTGTAAATAATGGCTTAGAAAGCTGGCTAAAAACGGAAAACATTGTTGAAATGTGTCTATGATGGAGCGGTACAACGGCGTGCATACATCCTGTGATGTCATAGGATTGTGTGATCTTACACAGCTCTTTAGTTGCTGTTGACCACTGTTGACCATAGTGTTATATTTCTTTCTTCGCTTCCGTTGACCGTTGTTAATTTTCCTTTCTCTTTACTACTATTCGACTACTCTGTCAATCTTCCTTCTTCTTAACCTCGACTCGACTTCACTTCTCTTTCTTACTTCTTCATCCTTGGCACTTCCTCACCTTACTACAACATTATCAACTTATTGTTCTGTTCTTCTACTTCGCCGAGGACCATTACATTCAGGCAGACTTTTAATAGGTTCTTATCTTTTCCTCTTTTACGTTGTTATAACCATTTATATGTTCTAATTGTTTTTCTTTTCTTCAAGCTTCAAGCTTCTTCATTCTAGCCATCAATAATTTCTTTTCTTCTCTTCACATTCATCCATAGTGTGTTTCCTGTTTCATTTAGGTAACACTTTATTTCTATTATTTATGTTTCATATTT